AGGTGAACCTCCTCTAGCAGGGCTGTTGGACAAGATGATATACAGAGGTCACTTTCAGCCTGAAGCATTCTGTGATTCTGTGATTTGTATTCCAAAATCCTGGAACTCAAGCTATTCTTACTCCTCTTCTGCTCACCTTATGCCCTATTGTCTGTCCCAGACTTTCTTCTCTTTGTTGGGTTTCCTTCCTGAAAATGGAGTCCTCTCCTTCTCTGGTCTTGTCTCCGGCACCCTGGACTCCCTTCTCCCCTCCATTTTCTGGGAGACCTAGGAATAGCAGAGAGGAATCTCCTCTGTAGTCACTTCCCAGAATGTTTCTTCACAAAGTATACTGCTTATGAACCTGAAAATCATAGAATTGAAGGATGCTTTGGGCTGGAATAGATTTTAAAGATCATCTAGTTCCATTCCCCTGACATAGGCAGGGATGCCACCCACTAGGACCAGATTGCTCAAGTCCTGTCCAAGCTGGCTTTCATTGAAGGGCCATTTACAGCTTCTTGGCAACTTGTGCCAGTACCTCACCCCTCCTCACAGTAAAGAATTTCTTCCTCATGCCTAATCCAAATCTCCCCTCTTTTAGTTTAAAACTGTTCCTCCATGTCCTGCTTAAAAAGCCTGTTTAAAAAGATGCTCTCTCTCTTTTTTTTTTTTTTTTAATGTTTTTAAGTACTGAAAGGCTGCAATAAAGTGTTCCATGTGTCTCCCAAATGTGTCTTTGATGCAATGACTGTTAGCCATGGACAGGAGGAGGAAATCTGTGGAGCTAGCTTGGCTCTGCAATGCAGCAGAACTGCCATGAACAATAGCTTGGGAGAAAAGTGACTCTCCCAGTGTTGCAAGACTGGTCTTTCATTTTGCCAAATTTTTCATAAATATCATGTTGCATCAGCCTCCAAATGTCTTTCCTTGTGAAAGAGTGTTGCACAGTCTAACAGACCCTCCTCAGAAAATTCTTCTGTCTCTTTTTACTCCCATTGCAGCTTCATCCAATTTCCCTGATAGCTTTATGCTTCTCTTCCCACCCTGCATGAACTGATGTGCTCCTGTTTTCATTCTTCACACACTTGTTGCCTAACCAAGGTACCTGTGTCTCCTCTTGCTCTGCACAGCTTATCTCTGACCACCTCTTTGCAAAGCTTTTCCTAGCCCTCTCTGAGGCTCTTTAGTTTCCAGTTACACTTCTCCATTTCCCCTTCATGAAGACATGAATTGTACTAAATCTCTCTTCTCTATCCATTTCCCTTCCATCTTACACTTCTTCTATCCTCCTTCATTTCTGTTCCATTATCTGTCTCTAGGCTCTCTTCTCACCTTTCCTTTACAAAATATTGGGTGAAGCTTCACTGATCCTAAACTCCTGGGGAGAGGTGGGTAAGTACCTACCACTGCCTGTTCCTCTAAAGTATTTTCATGTCTTCACTTCTCAGAGGGAATTACACCAACACTCTTTTTCTCCTTTTCCCATCACTCACTCTGAGCACTTTGATGGCTCTAAACTCCTCTCATTCCTCATTCCTCTTTTTTCTTGGCAAAATCTATTTGGACCCTCACCAATCCAGGACCCATGAGACCAAAATATGTTCTGGCTGCATAGTTGCAACATTGTCAGGAAGCTGAAGACCCTACATTTAATTTTTGTTCTTTTCTTATGTCCATTTTTCATTTTATTTTACTCAGCTTTGCCCACAGTAGGTGAGGGTGGGAGTGAGAGTGGGGGTATAGTTAACTTAGGTTAATATGGTCCTTCTGAGGGCAGTCCACAGGGCAGAGGAAGTGTTGACATTGCTGGTTTTTAGCTCTTCAGTTGCTCCAAACAACTCTGGCAGAGCAGAAACTATTGTTAGAAAGCTCTAAGTGAAATAATTATGTGTACATCTGGACAACCTCATATTTTTTCTCTGGGTCTTGTATAAGACATACCACAGAGCCTGGGTTTTGAGAGAAAATGGACCCAGTTTTCTGGAAAATGTGACTTGTTTTAGGATTGGCAAGACAAAGGCTGCAAATGTAAGCATCTGAAATGAATCAGTGACCACTTTTGAAAATCTCGATCAAAATGTTTCACATGGACAGGCTTGAAATAGGAGTTCACAAGCAGCAGCACCACAGGCTGTTATTACAGATGATCGTTTAGCACAGGCTGTTTTAATTTAGGTCAAGCAAAGCTAATACCAAAATGATCTATTTCTTAAACTAGCCTTATGTGTCTGTGTCTTTGTACATGTGTGCACAACATGTACATGCATAACGTAGACATTATTCACACATTACACATATTCCCACCAGTCAGCTCCATTTGATGCAGGATCATCATTTGAAATTTGGACTTCTTGAAGACATAGTAACAGTCAGGAGAGGCAAGAGCTGGGGCTGTCAGCTACATAGCCCCTATTTTGATGCATAATATCATGCAGGGCTCACATTTCTCCCTGTTTTTCCTCTCTGCTATTTTATTAATATTTTTTCCCCCCATCTTGCTCCTCACCCCATCCAGAATAATAGAATTGGCTGAAGCAGAGTCATGTCGCTTCTTGGTTGATTATACTGCTAACAGAAAAATCCAAACAAGCCATGCTGCATTTTATTCCCGAGGCTTATTCTTGAGAAAACTGTTTTTGCTCCTGGGGAAGTCAATGGAAATCTAATTAAGCCCAGATGTTTAGTAATAACAAGCACTTCCTTTTGGGAGACCCAAACAAAAGCTGTGTGAAAACTATTAATCGGGTTTGACTCTGTCATCAGGTTTAATTCCAGCTGTGCTAGTCAAGTTAATACTGGCTCTGAGAAGGAGGTTGTCCTGCTTGACACAAAAGCCATAAACTCAGTGTGTGGCAGATTCAACTGTGTCTGGGCACACAGCTCAGCTTGTCTTCACACCAAAGGAAAAGCTCAGCAACTTCAATATCAGACTTCCAGCTCTTTCCTGGGATTGCTGCTTGTGCAAGATACTAGACTAGAGACTAAAGACTAGACTTTATTTCCCTACTTGAATAAAGGCTTGACCCGATGATGGGCTCAAGTATGGGCTTTTGTAGATGTTAGATCAGGTCCCATTGCTGCTGAGGGTTTGTGCAAATTTGTAGAATCATGGAATCACAGAATGGTTTGGGTTGGAACGGACTTGAAAGACTAGCTAGTTCCAATCACATTGCCATGGTCAGGGACACCTTCCACTAGACTAGGTTGATCAAAGCACCATCCAGCCTGGCCTTGGACACTTCCAGGGGTGGCTTATTCACAAGTTCTCTCAAAAACCTATTCCAAATTTTTGCCTACATCTTCAGTAGATCTTCCTGGTCTCCAGTGCTTGCACTCTAAGACATGGAACAGCTGCCCCTTCTTCAAGACCAGAAGGTAAATGTCAAAGATTGAGTCTGAGCACCATAGGAAAAATAGGAAGGCTTTTCCTTTCATCTGTAGAGCATTTCAAACTTGTGATTTAATATATTCACAACCCTGTGTTTTTTTAAAAATTCAACTATGTTTTTATTATACAAAATTCCACAGTGAAATCCACCAGTCACTTTCTTACATAGCTGCTTTAAAAATAGAAATATACACCCTTTTGTAGTGTGTTAATTTTTATATTCACTAGCTTGAAGAAACAGAAATGAAACAGCAATTGGACTCTGAGTTATTTACCTGGAGAGGTTTTGGTTTGACCTCTATTTCTGTTATATGCCTTAATGTACTGTTTGTGGCATTAACAGAAGACCTGATATAGTTACTTTTGAAGCCATTGCACCCCATTAGCAGGTCAAGCTCCCACTGTTGGTGAGCTTTTCTTCACTTCAAAAGGGTGAATTTTCTGTCAGGGTAGGGAACAAAATACATGTCAGTGTTGACTTTTAGCAACATAGCATGTTAGCTGTGTTCAACCCACCACAGAATGAGGATCTACCTGACTTTGCTTACAGTCCATCCTCTTGGCTATATCTTTTTAGGATGACACAGTGAACATCTGATCTGAATAATGGCACAGGACTAGGTTCCCTGTGTATCATTTCACAATGGTATATTCTTGCAGTCTAACCTTCCATGACCTTTGCAAACAGATATATTATTCTTTTATATTGAAATGCAGCTGTATGCCATGAATTTCCCACAGTTTTCCTTAGAAAGGTAAGCATTTCACTCCAATTCCAGCTGATTGAAATTCATTCTCCAAGATTTTTCTTTTGCAAAATATTCACCCCAGAGATTAATTTCTTCACATTATACCCAGTTAAATATGTATTGCACACGAGAGACAAATTTCTTCTCTTTTAGTTAAACCATGGATCTGTGACCTTCTGAGCAGATCTGGGTAACATATCAGCATGCTTGAGATTTCTTTTAAATCCCTCGTGGCTACTGAGTGCCAGAACTAATTGACCTCATCTAGCTCTCATGTCTTGCCCCAGTGACTGGAGCAAAATCCTAACAAAAACAATGAGACAACCAAAGAGGCTCCTACCACATGGTCATTGGTTTCCATTGTCAGCTGTCTAAATGGTAGGCAGGAGCACAATGGATACTACTTATAATTTCCATTTGGGTTTGGTTTGGGTTTTTTTTAGCTAAATTCTCATTGTTTTGGAACTCGAGGGGAATTTGCAACCAACTTCTCTGACTGAAGATGGTGTTTTGACCCACTCTGGCACATCTTTGTATGATTTCTGTTTAAGAAGGGCTAGGAGCTAACTAACTCAGTAAAAGCAAAGCTCAGACCAAACTGAAACATTCTGTGGAGGTGCATAACTTTGTGAAGGGATTTCTTAGTTGGCTGATGGCATCATCTGAGCTCAGTGAAAAGACCTTACAGATCTCAAGACCTTACAGGTCTTTTTCTTTCAAGCCGGTTTACATTACACATCCCTCAAAACAACAGCAGAACTTTACAATGGCTTCTTCTAACACTGTGTAATCTTTTAAGTAGATCTGCATGTGAATGAAGCAAGTGCAAAACAGAGCAAATTCTCCTTCTGGTTCCTGCAGCCCGGACCACTACAGTGGTGCAGTTCAGGAACACTTCAAAACCATGGTAAAATCCACAGTTGAAACTCAAAGATGAAAATTTTATCCTTCATTTCTACACAGTGTCAGGATAGCACCTGATTTCTTCAGTTTTCAGGGTGTTTTGTGCTCCTATGCTTTAAACTGGTGGCTAAAGTTTTGCCTTCGGAAGCAAAAAAATGAACCCACACCAATGACGATCACAGATAAAACTAGTACAGAGGTTAATATAATGATGATGTTGATTTTCTTCAGATCCTCTTTTTCACAGTCTTCTGGTCTAATGTTCTCAATGTGCATTTCTTCCCAATACCCAAAGCTCCGAATGTACTGGCACATTAAGTGCTCCACGTTTGGGATCTGGACATTTTTGTTCTGGATCATTGACGAAAGCCAGATGTTTCCACAGCAGTTGAGTGGGTTCCCAGAGAGATACAAGTTTTTAAGTGAATTTTCTAATGCTAAAATATTGCTGTCCTGTAAGGTACTGAACCTATTGTTCCGTAGGTCTAGAACTTCCAGTGGAGAGTCACTACTCCACTTAGGAAGCCAGTTCAGCTGATTTTCAGAGAGGTTTAAATGTTTAAGGTGACTAAAACAAGGCAAGTCAATATTTAAATCTATCAGTCTATTGCCATGTAAATGCAAGTATTCCAGAGACTTTTCCAGTCCTGCTAGTGCTTTAAGTTCTATTTTCAGTCCAGGGTTCATGGAGAGATCCAAGACAAGCAGTGGAGTCTTGTAGAAGGTGCGTGCTGGTAGGATGCTCAGCATGTTGTCTGCTAGGTACAAATACTGGAGAGCAGGAGAATTGACAAACGACACACAGCCATTTTCCTCTCCAGCAAGTCTTTGCTTAGCTAATCCTGAGTACATGTGGCACAGGCTGATGTTATTGCTCCGAAGGTTAAGAAGTCTGAGACTAGGAAGACTGGAAAATATGTCGAATTGAAGGGTCTGAAGGTTGTTGTTTTGAATATGAAACTCCCTCAAATTTGGCAAAGCACCAGCATCGAGGAGAAGGTTCTGCAAAGCATTGTAGCTCAAGTCAAGGACAGTTAGGGAGACCAATGCACTATCATCATTTATAGCAAATGCCTCAAGACAGTTTTTGCTGAGATTAAGGGTGTGAAGGGACAACATTGACTCAAAGAACCCATCTGGAATGGATTTTATTTTATTATAACTTAAGTCTAAATATACAAGCTGGGATAAATAAAGAGAACTTGTATTTTTACTTTGTTTCTGATCAAGAAGATGAAAAGAAGCATCTATCCATTCATTATCCATGTAGTCCATTTTATTATAAGGGGATTCAGCAGTGAGCTGGATTAAATTATTTGATAAATTCAGAGTTACCAGTTTATTTACCTGAGGCAAGGCTGGGAAGTGAAGCAATTTGTTTTCACTAAGATCCAGACGTCTTAAACTATATTCCTCGTTTGACTTTGTGATGCTGAACATTTCAATGCTATTCCTGCTAAGGTCAAGTATCTCCAACTGCCTGAGGTTGAAATCAGAGATGCAAGTAATTGAATTTGTGGAGAGGTTCAGTTTGGAAAGGTTTGCTAGAGTGTCAAAAGCACCTTCTTCTATTTCCATGATGATATTTCTCTGAAGATCTATCTCCACAAGACCAGGAGAGCCCCGAAACATCTTGTGTGATATCATTACAATACTGTTGTCTGCCAAGGAAAGATACTGCAGTGTTGGAGCTTGATTAATGAAATACTCAGCCATCCCACTGTAGAGATTGTTGTGGGACAAGTCCATTATTTCCACCTTGGGCAAAAGTCCAATCCCCTCTGTCCCATTCTGAGTAAGCTCATGTAAATTATTATTGGCTAAATTTATTTCCAGCAAACTTGTCATGTGTGCAAACACTCCAGACGTGATGAAGTTTATCTGGTTGAAGCTTAAATCCAGATACTGGAGGGAAGTGTAAAATGATAATGGTATTTCAGGGATGCTTTGAATCAGGTTTCCAGACAGATCTATTTTCTTTACATTCGGATGGAGCTCGTGAGGGATTTGGTGGAGGTCTTTGTTGTGGCAAAATGCCTGTGAATTTGCCTGCCAGAAAAGGAAAGAAAAGGAGTTGGCACATGACAAATTAAAAATATTTTTTGCATGATATATATAAGGAAAATAACATTCAAGATCCAGGCAGAACCTCCTCCTGAAACATTGATCCCACCACTTAATCTGAGCAGTCAGACAGCAAGAGCAACAATCCTGACACCTCTCTGCAGCTCACAACGCTCTTTTAATTTTAAAGGCATCACTGACCTTCAACAATAGAGTTTTATCTGTGTTTGATACCTACTGAATTCTTTCCTTTTTGTACCTTTCTCCTTTCTACCTTTCTTGACTCTTTTTAGTAGTCCCAAGTGAAGGAGTTCTGCCCCTTTTCCATTGCAATCAAGCACCATTTCTTAATTTTTCTTCTGATGTTTAATTTTCTCACTTTCATCTCTATATTAGATTTTTTGAACTCAACTTGCAAGAGTAAGCTGTACTTGAAAAAGCTTCAGGCTGTTGACAGTGTGGGTCCCAAAGCAAGGAGGTGGAAAAACATATAAGGATCCTACATCACAAAACCTGCCTCTCCTTCATACTCACACCCTCTGATATTGGATCATGTTTTCCTTTGTCCATGGCTTAGTTTAGTAATGCACCTTTATCCAAAAGGGGTCATTCAATGATTGAATTCTGATGTAAACCTCCAAACTGTTCCTGCTTTAACTATCCATGTTTATCCTTTTACTAAGGTAACAGTTCCCTCCTTCTTGCATGAGGAGGAAGCCTTGTGAAAGTGCTCTGACAAAACACACATGACACAACGTGGGAAAGACAAATTCTGTTAAAGCCAGCACTTGAGAGAGAAAAAAGTTGTGAGGTGCAGTGAGGGTCATACTTTTTCAGGCCAATTCTCAGCAGCAGATAGAGAAAAAAAAAAAAAGACAAATGACAAAATCAAATCCATCTTCCAGAAGCAAGTCTGTTTAATTGCAGCTAGGATTGAGTCTGTGTCCAGGCCAAATTTGGAGTGTCTGTTCATAAGGAAGATTAGGAATATGAACATGAGGATCCTTGCATAAATATAAAGCTATATTTTATTAATAAGGAGAACATACAGCAGTTTGAGGAAGTGGAAAGTGAAAGGCTTAAACAGCATTTAATTTACTGAGGAAAACTCTTGTCATGAATGTATTTGGATGTCTGGGTCATGTAGCATTTGTAGAAAGTTCAGAAAGGAAAGAAAGAAACAAAAAAAAATCTGTTGAATCTTAATTTTTGTGGAGAAGCAGGATCCAGATTCCATGACACAAAGCTTTTCAGATATTAAAGAAACATCTAAAGTAAAATAATTAAAACCTATCTGTTTCATGTGAACTTTGAGGTGAATGAAGTAGCACATCTGCTTTGGAGAAGTGTGGCACTAGTCAGTCTTTTATGAAATTCTTTTCCATAATCTAAATTTTGGAGACCACACAAAAAAGTTTCTGAGAAATGTAAGTGCTCATCCAATCTCTAGATACAGTCAGATTGCTCCACAGTCCTTTTTATAATATATCTTTCCCAAAGATTCCAAATAAATTGATTACAAAAATCTGAAACCATTTCCACTCCCCTTCAATTCACTTAAATCTCCCCCAGCTAAAAATATTAGGGAGAAAAAAAGGTAATTTTCTGGCATCTCCCTGACATTACTTCTTTTTTGCAAAGCCATTGTAGAATTGCTCATTTTGAGCTAAAATATGCCTAGATTTGGGCTTAGCTCTAAGGCATGAGAAGGAAGCTTTTTTTAATTGGTTTATGGAAGAGGCAGAAGCCAGAAGGATAAAAAAATCCAGAGTGAAAAAGCAGCAGGTACTTTGCAGCCTAAGGCACATGCCAGGTTTCTTCAGACACTTTGAGCCAAATCTCAACAAGCGTAGAGCCCCCTTCACTCCTTCTGGGAGAAAGTATCTTGGCAAAGTTCTGATCCAACTCCTGTCAATGCCAGCCAGCCGTTTTTCACTGAACTCAGTGGTTGAGAGGTCAGTCCCAGATCACCATGTATCTCTCAGGATTTGGCCTTTAATCTGCATCCATAGAACTGTCCCAGGGATAAAAGGGTAAAATCTATACTTCCTATTGCCTGCCCTTTGCTCCTATAATACTTCCCCTCTCATATTTCTTTTAACATTATCATTCTTTTCACTATTTTGATCCTCGCCATATCACTTATTTTCTGCACCTTCACTCCCCTGAGGCTCAAACTTCATGAATTTCACCCTCATCAGGGATAAAAAGAAAATATAAAGCACATTTCAGTGGGATGGAGCATCTCTTTGGTATATCACCCCTCCTCTCACCTCTTAGGCCAGAGGGTTTGCAGCCTGAGACTGGAAAAGATGATTTTGCCAGTCTCATGTTCTGACTTCATCTTTTTTGCCAGTGTTGCCATCAGTTTATTTCAAGTCCATTGTCAAGAAGTACTGCAGGATGAGGAGCATTTGGTCCCTTCAGTATCTGGTCTCACTTGTGTGCTAGTAAAAAAATGATCCAAGATCTCAAAAGCTAAGCATCATTTGGTTTCTTGTTTCGGTTCTTCACTGCTCAGCACTGAGAAGAAGCTGCCATCCACGTTTGTAAGAGCCCTACAAAAAAACCAGCTGGATCCAAGCCTCCACTTCTGTTCTCCTTTCTCAACTCATGAACATCTGAACCAAAGAATTTGGGCTGCAGGCACTCGGCACTGACCTGCACTTGTGTGGTGTCCATGGCCATTCCCAGAAGAGCTGCCCAGGTGGAGTCTCAGCTACAGAATCAAACCTCAGCAGTTTGCCCAAGTACCCCGCATCAGCTGACCTGTGATAACTGGTCTTGCACATGTTCTTGCACCACCTCAGTCCAAGGTAAGGCAGAAACTCCTAAAATCCCTTCCCTTCTGTAAATTGTTTCAAAGCTTATCCTTTGCCAGCAAACATGAATTAGTAGAAACATCTTACTTTGGGAGGTAGAACATGATCTACTTGAAGCCTTGCCTGACCTTGGAAGGCAACATGAGTTAGGAAGAATCTCCTGACATTTAAGCTGTACCTTTCTTTGCAAACAAGTAGATATGCCACAACTTAGTAATCAGTGGAGTCACACCTGTGTCAAGGGTCTGGTAGGGATTATTTACTTCCTAAAACCCCTTCTAGGGTTCTTGTTCAATGACAAGGGTACTAGTGGTGAGTCAGAGATGGGCACAAGTTTCTGACTCATACCTTTTCCAGGAGACTTGGGATGAAAGTATTAAATTCTGAGCTCTTGCTGTCCTAAAGGTGTCACCACAGGGAAATTGCCTTGTGAAACAGTGAGGCTGTGATAAAAAATAGGAATTCAGGACTTCAATGAACCCAGAACTTTATCCAGTCACTCCTTCTTTCTTTAAACGGTGTTTGGATTTACACACATCTTTTGTCAGAGTAAACATCCAGCAAAGTAAGATGATCAGCATTGACATCTGCAGTGCTGAGCTGTTCATTTCTTTGGGATGAGCATCCCAGCCTTGGACTGCAGCTTTCTGTCAGAGCTAAATTTATCTCAGTTAACTGCTTAGAGCCTTGGGTCATTGGCTTGATGAAATGAGTTTATGGTGGAATGCTGGAAACAAGAACATGTTTACTTTTCTGCAGTCAGATGGGTCTATGACCCATCCAAAAACTGGAATGGGACAAACCTGCTTGGGTTATTGTGTGTCTTGCCCAGCCTTCACTTTTCTGTGATACATGGGACCCAAACTTCATCAGACCTCCCTCTCCAGCCAATGAACTGAGCTACTCAGTCTCCTTCCCAAGATTATTCTATATAAACTGGGTTTTAATTTCTTTGGAATTCAGGAAGTGCAGGAACACAGCAGGTGGGCAGGAATGCAATAAGTCCCATAAGGGAGTTGTGTACAGCTAGTAAAAACGGTTTTTTTCCTATTTTGGAAATTCTTGAAGATTTGTGCTAAGCAGATTCAATATTCAGGAAAAAAATAGGCATTTTTAAAAGCCTGTAACAGTCAGAAATACTTTGATAGGGAAGGGAGAAAGGTCAGGTCTGAATAACATTTATAATATTGTACCAGGTGCTTGCAAAAATCCAAGGAGAAAATTTTGTACTGAAGTAAGAGGCTTTGTCACTTCTTTTTCCTCCAGCAGAAGTCAGGTGCAACTTCCTTGGCAGCAATGCTGTGTCAGGGCAGAGGAGGTCAGTCTCCCTGCTATTACAAAAGGGCTGGTATAGAAGTATTTCACAGAAGATTCTTTATATAAAGCACAAAGAATTTAGGCCTGATAGAAAGGAGTTGATTTTAGGTCTAAGTCTTTTCTCTGTCTCAGTCCCAGAACCCCTTTAAAGTCTTAGAGAAATCAGGTCAAATTTCTTTTAACCAGCTACCTTTAGAAAAAAAAACAAAAAAAACCCCAAAAAACAAAGATAATGACCTCCCACCTCCCACCTCACCCCTCCTCCACCCCTCTTATGTGCTGTCACTACAAAAAGGACATAGCCTGAGAAGTGCCTGCTACCCATCCCCTAACTGCAAATCCCACCTCTGCCACCGCAGAAAGTCTGGTCCTGGAGGATTTCCCTTTTCTGAGACTATGGCTGTTTGCACAGTGCCTGTAATGGGTGTCCCAGCCTCACTGCACATCCCAAAGGGCCTGAGCAGGAATCCCTCCTTACCATTTCACAGGGTGTCCCCTCTATGGGATGGTAGTTAAAGGTTCCTGTGTTCACCACGGCCAGCCAGAAGATGATGTTCAGTTTCATGGTTCTGAAGGTAAAAGTAATTATGATTAGATTTCAAACAGAACACAGAGGTCAACACATGTGAAAGCTGGCACCAGATTACCATCTAATATGGAGATGGACACAAGCAGTGTAATAAATGAAGCCATCTCTGAGCCCACTACACTTATGACCTACCTGTATAGCTTTGCATTCCTTTGAGCCTGGTGGGAAAAGGAAGATGGAAGGCATTTAATGGGTTTGTGTGATTCCTAGATGACATCCAGGCCACCCAATGAAGTTCAGATGCTCAAGCTGGGCAGTGTGTCTGGCATCACATAGAAAGAACTCTCAAATGGAAATGGTTTATGTTTAGATCCAACAAATTAAGCTGAGGGTATTAGCCTCAACAGGATACCACCCTGACAGACATTCTTCTGTCACACAGGAGATGATTTCAGATGGCTTGTGAGTTCAGGTTTGTATTTATTACTTTGTGCTGCCCTCTAGGGCTGAAGCAGTTGTCTAATTGCTGGTCTCCTCCCTTCCTGCTGCTAGCTAAGTACTGCTGCTGGAAAACCCACCTTTGCACAGGTTTTCCCATTGCTCTCTCCCAGAGCCACAAGCCTGAACGGTTGCAATGCAATTTACCCATGGTTGAAATAATATGCCAAAGATCTGGGCTCTTAACATCTAATTGGCTTTGCAATGCGCTCTGAAATGAGAGGCATAAATCACAGAATAGTTTGGGTTGGAAGGACCCTTAAAGATCCTCTGGCTCCAACCCCTCTGCCGTGGTTAGGGACACCTTCCTGCAGACCAAGTTGCTGGTCTAGCCATGAAAATGCTATGCAAAGACAACGGGGGAGGGCGTGATTAGGTGCAATGGATAGAAAAATCCATGTTAAACTCTCAAGAGGACAGTCCATCTGTGAGATTATCACAACCCCAGACAGGTTCCCCTTGACTGGGACTCGTTTTGACCACCTTTCCTCAAGCACATCGTGTTTTGAGCTTCCCTAGTCTGGAGCTGGCTGCAGTGCTGATTTTGGCATGCTTCCTGGACTCAGGCTCTCGGTCTGCAACCCCCTTGGGGTGAGCAGGGAACTTCTGTTGAAGCTGGGGACTTCTGTGGTGTCCAGAGGTTTAAATTCCTTTCAGATGCTCTGTGTTTAGAGTTTGCTCTGTCAGCAGTGTGCAATAGCACTTGCAATGCACAGACACTTTTGCAAGACAAACCTCAAACATTTGAGGCCTCAATCAGAAAAAAGATATATTTTTTAAAATAGGATATTTTGATTTAATTTAGAGACAGACTACTAATATCATGCCTGTAATGAAGAGCAACAGGATGACTGCAGCTTCGCATTTTCTACACACGGATGTTCAGAGCACTTCGGGAAGTTTGGATTTGCAGGGATAAAAATAGCAAAGAATTTGTTGGTTGAGCTTTTTAAAAACCCAGCTCAGTTCCTCAAGCTGTTTTACCAAGTGACCAAACAGTTGTGCCAGGTGAACTGTGAAGAAGAGCCTGGACAGAAACAAATGCCAGACCAGGAGGGAAGGGCATGCACTGATTCTGCTGCTCAGAACTTTGCTTCATTAAAATCACAGCCAAGTCAAATCTGCATACCAAAATAAGGACTCCTACATCTCCTCTAACCCCAGCATGGCTTTCCTCCTGTCTTTTGAAGCTATTGTCATCCTCATTTCTCACTCTGTCCTCTCTCTACTTGCACCTGTGTCAGGTGATTAGCCAACAGAACTTCCCCACCAGAAATTAATATTTTCAAGCAATTGGATACATGGGGTTTAGCCAGATTCCATATTTTATTCACCTTTTCTTTTTTCCTGCTCCTCTTTACAGGAAAAAAAAAAAGAAAATAAAATTACAATTGCATGAAATTCACCAGGCTGGAGACTTGCTGAGCGAGGGGCTGGGTGAAGGGACAGTAGGAGATGGGCAAATGAAAACACTTTTATCAGCAGAAAGTGATTTGCAGATTAAACAATGTGATCATGAAAACAAACTATCTCACTGGAAAACAAATTCTCAGGAAAACTCAAATTCAGAAGCTAAAACATAATAATTTCTCATATTATTTTAGTGTAGGAAAAAGAGAAAAACAAGCTTTTAATTCAGCAATTTGTTTTTCTTCAAAGTGGAATCAGTATCTGCGAAAAGATCTATTTAATTTATGTGATCCAACAGGAGGAAAAATGAGGTGAGGATAGTTACTTCTGATAGATCTGGTTGCATGATACTAATACCACCCCCTTTGAATCCATCCATCATTGTATTAGTAAAAGGTAAAGCACTGATACAATCACTGAAATGGAAATATCTGCTTTAAAACGAGATTGCTTGTTGTGAATTTCTATCACAGAAAATTAAAGGATTTCAGCATTTTAGAGTAATTAATTGATTTTAAAGTTGAAATTATTGCATCTTAGTTTAAAAAAAAACCCACAAACAAATTTCTGCTGTTATGGAAAACCTAACTTTTGATTCTATTTAAGGAAGCATATCTGCACTTTCATAAAAAATACTTTTATCAAAATACACCAGAGTTTGGCTTTATAAATGTACCTGTGACTTTTAGATAAATAAGGATTTCCTAAAACTTTATCAGTTCCAAATACTGTCTAAGTGTTATTTCCTGTGGTAACAATCCAGATGCAGCAAAACCCTCTCAGTCCTAAGTCATTGTTCACCCAAGGTGACATTCAGGCTGTCAGGATCTTAAGAGTAGCACAGTAATGCTGCCATCTCACTCACACCTCGTGCTCCAACAGGGAGAGCTCAATGACAGTGCTGATAGAAGAGCAGAGGAGCCAAGCAGCCTTTTGCCCATTGTACCCGGGGGCTCTGAGATTTGCCCGAGGCTGTGCTAAGATGCAGGGTCGGGGAGCTGGGTGAGTGGCAATTTAATCAGTGTACAAGGCTGATCTCTGCAGCACTCCAGGTTCAGAGCACTTATAATGCAGCAATTCCACAAACAGACTAAAGTCCTGTAAAGAAAGAAAAATCACCCAGACATGTCCCCATCTTTCACTACTGTAAGCACCGAGAATAATAACCTGGTATATGACAATTGCATTGTTGTAAACTAGTCGGTGTCTCCTTAACATAAGGGATTCTCTGCAGTGCAAGTCCCTGATGGGTTAAATATACAGCTGTGTGGATAGAGCCATCTACACAGTGTGTTTAGCCAGTTCCTCAGCCTATCCATAAACACAGTACATTTTATTTATACAGCACCTTCCTCGTCCATGTTACTTTCAAAAGGCTGCAGCTCTAAGTCACCACAGCCCCCATCTCTCCTGCAGTCAAAAGATCAACTTTCCAGCATGCTCCCAGGTTTGCATGCATCTCCACATACCTGCTCTGTGGCTGGAGGAGGAGGAGGAGGAGCAGGATTCACCTCTGCTTGCAGCCTTCTGTCTCACAGACTCTCCCAGCAGCTTTTCCAGGGCAAGTCGAGGAAGAGTTTACTTAGGGAAGCCGTACCTCTATCGCATGCCAGCTGACTAAAACTCTGTGAGCTCCGAGAGAAGTTTGAAGTCACAGGGAAAAAAAATACTCCCCATAGACCAGTCTGTGAATTCATTCCTTTGCAGTCACGATCTCTTATGTATTCCCAGGCTCCCACAAGCATGTGAATACATACCTCCGTAATTGTTTTAAAATGTGTGTGTCCTCTGCGCTTCTCTTTATTTTCCATTTCGTCCATTCAGTCTTGGCTTATTTTCTGCAGTTTCTCAGCTGGTAATTACGCTCCTCTCGTATTGACACATGAAGCAGTCAGTAAATTCCACAAAAAGATCCCCTCTGCAGGCTTTGCAGACACGTGCTTGTCTCTGAAGTCATCCGTGCCTGTCCCACAGCTGTCGGCTTGCAGATTCCCAGGGGATGGAGTGAATCAGGGGCACCGAGCTAGTCGCAAACCCAAAGCTCCGTGTCCATGCAGAATGGGATGCACAGGAAAAGGCTGTATGGGAGGAAACCTTCACAGTAGGGACAACACATAGTTTGGTTTCCCAACAGCTCAGTTGTGTCTCTGTAGCACAGCGGGATGACCAAATGCACCCTTGGGGGAAAGGATAAATTCAATTTAATGCTTGAATGGGAAATAATGTAAATGCCTTCCAGAAAGGGCAGTGGGATGAATTTTTTTTCCTTTTCCTTGGGTGTGAAACTCTTTTATTTCAGAAGCAATTCACTTGTGTAAACTGATGGGGTACCTGCACACTGCTTGATGTGCCCTAGTACCAGGGCAGGGGTGCAGTGGCCTCTGCATGATAGTTTACAGCAGTGCAAACCTTTGAGAGAGTTTGGCCAGCTCCACAGCAGGTGTCAGGACCAAACTGAGTGTTGGGTTCACCAGCCAAGGCACAGCCCTGCCTGGGCCACCCCACCAGAGAGCTCCCGCAAGCATCAGTGACCAAAGCAAACCTCCCAGGGATCACTACAAGTCTTTTTCCCTGGATGCATGAAAAATATCTGAACTGAGTGACCTCCTGCCTGGAGGAGAGTTTTACCTTCAGCAATGTGTGTTTTCCCCTCTTTGCACTGACATCTGCCATTATGGACAAGAAAAAAGAGTGTACTTACTCCCTTCTACTGGACAGCATCAATTCTGTCCAACTTTCCTGGATCTGTTTATTAAAATCAGATAAAACCCATGTCCTTTAACAGCATGTGCCAAAGAGCTTTGTGGATTCTGCTAAATATATACCGGTTCCTCTGCCACAGGTTATTGCTCATTCTCTTCAGCACACCAGCTCCTAAGAAGGTCACTTCAGATCTACATCATACTTCAAGATTCAAGATGAAAATCTCTAGAGATGTGAAAGATGTGGTTTGTTAAATGTGTCAATGAGTACATAATGCACGTGTTACTGCAATAAAAATGTAACAAGGATAATCAATTTTAAAGTAATGCGTCCATTAGGGCAAAGAAGTAAACAATCATGATACATGTTCTTAATTATACCATGTATGATAATGAACATGTAGAGCTGCATATGCATCTTGTTATTTATACAGCACCTTCCTCGTCCATGTTACTTTCAAAAGGCTGCAGCTCGAAGTCACCACAGCCCCCATCTCTCCTGCAGTCAAAAGATCAACTTTCCAGCATGCTCCCAGGTTTGCATGCATCTCCACATACCTGCTCTGTGGCTGGAGGAGGAGGAGGAGGAGCAGGATTCACCTCTGCTTGCAGCCTTCTGTCTCACAGACTCTCCCAGCAGCTTTTCCAGGGCAAGTCGAGGAAGAGTTTACTTAGGGAAGTCGTACATAATGGTGTAAAATCACATTCATAGAACCCTTAGGTGATGTTGTACATTGCATGCCAGCTGACTAAAACTATGTGAGCTCCAAGAGAAGTTTGAAGTCACAGGGAAAAAAAAATACTCCCCATAGACCAGTCTGTGAATTCATTCCTTTTCAGTAATTATCTCTTACATATTCCCAGGCTCCCACAAGCATGTGAATACATACCTCAGTAACTGTTTTGAAATGTGTGTGTCCTCTGCACTTCTCTTTATTTTCTGTATTTTTTAAAGGCCAAATGGTTTAACAATTAGTATGAGAAGCATTTCTCATGTACTTGTCTTGGCAACAGAAGCAGATCTGGAGGAGTTTGCTTGTGTACAGCAGCTTCAGTAAGGACTGAGAGCCTCAGAACAGCACTTACATAGAACATAGGTGGTCGAAAAAATACAGCACATTATCAGTGAGTGAGCATGTGGTCTGAAAGCCCCAGTGACCCTGTGCTGGGCCTCAAGTAGGAGTCCACTATAGCTGTGTCTTGCGGCACCATGCCTCATGACTATGGTGGTGTTATTTGGTTTGGCATCAGCTCGACAGTGATGTGTTAATGTCCACCTCTCACCCAAGCTGCACCTCCCCTCACAGTCCATGGTGTCTTATTTTGCTGGGACTGACAGAGGGGAGCCACCAAGTAGATATAGTCACCCCTCCTGTAATCACACCAGGACAACCTGATGGCAAACTTGATGTCACAGCAGCCAAGCCTGGAGGATGCTGCATTCGTGCTGCTCAGAGATGCGGGGCCGGTTGTATTATCCAAATGGTGCATGGCTAGCTAAAGGAAAATGGCCTGCCACATAAAGGATAGAAATTTTCCTGACAATGGATTTCAGATTTACATGGAAGCAGAAGAAATTATTCACACAGATGCTGCTGTTGGTAGATGTCTATCTCTGGCGTGTGGCTGCAGAAACTTGGGTCAACCAATGGTTGATACCCAGTGACACCTGAGTGCTGATGCTTCTCCAGTTTTATCTCTTCCAGTAAAAGTGTCTCTCCCAGGGAGGGATCCCTGGCTGGATCCATACAGACCTGACCCTTCTCTAGAGCAAGCTGACTATTTTCCAGTGTGTAGCACACAGATACCTGACTCCAGATGGTTCCCCTACAGCCCTGAATTTCTTTCACTGCTAGCTTTCTTTGAGGATACCTTGGATATTGTGGGGACAGTGTCCAAATATGCTGTAGGGGGTCTGTGTGGAGCAGAAGCAGCCAAACCTGATGCAAATCCTGAAGAAAACCACAGAACTACACACAGCTTGGAGGGAACAAGCTGGTTTTGTGGGAAAGGGTGCCCTTGAGCAAGCTAACCCTCAGTGGTATTGACTCTGGGAAGCTGGCTTATTTGACAGCATCGATGTACCCAAGCCTACCCCATGAAAAAAACCTGAGGATACGAGGAGGGACACAACACCCTGAAAACTTGTAGGATCTTGCCACCAAAACTGCATACAAGCACCAGTCCTGTGATAATCCCTGCTGGTATCTGCCAAGCACAAATCCTACATGACTCCATACTGAGGCAGTAGGCAGCCAGAAAACCCCACTTTAAAAAAAACCAAAAAATAGCCATAGGTCAGTTCTGCTCACACAAAGCCAACCCTGGGCCTTCTCCTTCCTTTCTAACTGTCACAGAATTCCCACACTTCCATGGGAGACAGTGACAGGCTGGGTTGGTGGGGCTGGCATGGAGACAAGCAGGAGTGTATGAACAGAAAGAAAAATTCCCAGCTACTGAGATCCTCCAAGACATCTCTGCCAATATAAGCATCTTTATCTTGAGCTGAAGTTAGCCCAGTTTCTTTTTTAGAAATTACATGAAATAACACCCCCCCAAAAAAAAAAAAAAAATCCAAACCAAAAAACAACAAAACAGTCAGGAAGAGAACTGGCTGGTTTTAATAACTTGCAAAAGATTAGAAGTTGACCATGTACTCATCTCACAGTTAAAATAAACCATATCTTGTCAACAAGATGCCCATCTTTAATTATAAATTCTATTTTCCCAGCCTGAACAAAGTTTGATATTTATGCTCCATTTCCTCTGGGTCTGATTATAGCATCTTATTTCTTAAAAAATACATGAGGAACAAGGGTTCCAAGAGCTTTGCTGTAACGATGCTGTTTCTGCTGCTGTTGTTGAGGGAAGTTTGTTGCTGGGATGATGCTTCACACACTGGTGCCAATATGGGTGGTGAACCGAACAGTGAAGTTGTCCTGGTCACCAGGTCAGCTGTGATTCCTGTCCCATCTCAGACCTCATCACACGGTGCCTGCAGATCTCAGGAGCTGTGTTTTTAGCTGAACTCAAAGAAGATGTTGCTCTTGGCATTTTCCCAGACTAGATTTGTGTCAGTCCCCTTTGGTACCAGCCATAACCTTCCTAAGGTCCAGATGGCAGGGTAAAAATGCATGTCCAGTGGACTCTCCACACTTACCAAACCAGATGTGGCCAGCTGTGAAGGAGTTAGCTGCAACCATGTTACAATGCAGTGATTTGAAGGATGGACAAAGTCCTGGCTCATCTGACTACTCTTGGGTGCCAGGGTCCTCAAACATTGGGTGCCTAGGCAGACTAGGCAGAAAATTGAGCAAGAAAGCAAAATGCACATAATGGTGCAAAAAGACATTCATGGAACCCTTAGGTGATGTTGTACATCACTTGGAGTGGCAGATAGGGTGGAGACTCCCAGCACAAACAGGTATCACCACAGGATATAAACAAGGTGACTTTGGTGGTAAGGGTCTTTTGTAGAATCTTCTGAGAAAAGATAACACAAATAACTTGGGGAGAAAACAATGTCTGATG